ATGGTATCGCAGAGCTTATACAACAACAGGAACAACAGTCGAAAACAACTATTGCGCCTCAATCCCAAACAATTTGGGGTCAGCTATATGAATCCTCGTTATTCATGTCGCTTCATCTTATGGGAAAAAACCCAAAAATGTGAGATGGTATCACATAGCTTATCTTGTGGGAAAATGATAGCTTGTAGAGTTTCTTCTCTTTATGCAACGAATTTTAAGTGGGTATTTGTAGGCTGTGCAAGAATTCGGAAACGGCCTTTCTACCTTCAAAAGGTACGAATAAGATTTGCGTACGCACTATCCTCCTCAGATCCCACTTTGTGGGAACGGACTGAGTATGGTGTTGTTGTAAGCTTTGCAAGAATTGATGCCCATTGGTTCTTGGGTTCGTCTTCAATGCCAAAGCATTCAAATTTTATGCTAGCAGTTTAGTTGATATATATTTGGTACCTTCAGTTGTACCTTTTTCAGTTTTACATTGTATTTTATAAAATATTTTGTTAATTTATCTTTTCATTTTTTACGTTCTTCTTGATCAAATTTAAGTTGTATGCTATATAGATGTGATGAGTTTCATGACATCCTACTAGATACATACTTGTTTTTGTATTTTTTTCCTTTCTCCATAAAGGTGATTTTTTTCTTCCCTAAAAATAAATTATAATTTCAAGTAATAAACCAATCAACTTTCCAAAAGGATATTATAAAAGTTCATGGCATTCTAATTGAGATAGTATATTACTAGAGACATCTCGGACAAGTCAAAGTTTAGGAGAAAATTTGGATTATTTCGTATTGTTCAATGATAAATTTAATCCTTTCCCCTTGTACAAAAGGGCTGCGTTAGTCATTAAAGGCAAATCAAACCCATTTTTTATAACGACAAAAGTAGATTTGTCCTCAATTACAACAAGCAACATAGTAAAATAATTATTGAAACAAAGAAATTTCTACCTCCTGTAGCAAAGGTTAACACCTTATTTATTTTAAATAAATACCATTTAAAAAAATTATATTCTATAGATACCTTTTAAGGTTTATAACAAAATATCTAATTTTGGTACCTCCTAGCCCTAAGCCACTAAATACACTATTCAGTTACACTATTTGATTTCTCTCTCTAATTTGATACATGTCATTCTCTCTTCCAAATAATACCGGATTCATTGACCGAAATCCAGTAACTATCAATTACTAGAGAATCGGCCATGGTATTCAACGTCGGAGCTTAAAAGGAAGAAGAGGGTGGCCAAATATAAGATATATTCCATGGAAGGAAAAGTCAAGAAATCATTAAAAAATGGTTATCGGTGGTTCAAACATGTGTTAGAAGCAATGTACAGGATGCGTGGGAAGTGAGATTCAGGGTTTTTGCTCGACGGCAGATTCGCCGGAAATTAGGGTTTGTTCTTGAACAAAGACAATGGATTTTGGGGCTGAGCAACTTGATTTTCTGTTAGTATATTTCAATGTATTTTCAACATATCACGCTGTATTTTCATGTATTTCATTGTATTCATTGTCTTTTTTTTCATTGTAATTCAATGTATCTCGCTGTATTTATGTATTTCATTGTATTCACTGTCTTTTTTTCTCATTGTATTTCAATGTATCCCGCTCTATTCTATGTATTTCATTGTATTCACTGCCTCGCTATATGCCATGAATGTATTCATATGTTTTTTTAATTAATATAATTTATGTATTCAGATGTATTATATAATTTCTCTGAAGACTGCTATGTTTTTGGGGTATTTTTCGGTTGAGAATCTTTTTTATAACTGAAAATAAAAAATTTGTGTTATAATTGAGTTTGTTGAGTTATATTAGGAGTCTATTATATTAATTGATTCACTTTCCGTTTTAAAAACATTGTAATCCCCTATTTCACGCCGTGAATACAGTCGAGTACAATTAAATACAATAATCTATCCAGTTGTAATCTCATGTTTCACTCCATGAATACAATCGAATACAACAACTGATTAGCTGGACTTCCCCAATTCACGCCTATTTGCTACTGTATTTATGAATACAATAGCTTAAATACATCAAATACATCTTATAACCACAGAAAAGGTATCTACAATCCGTAATATAACAAATAATATCTATAGATGGCTAATTACTACTAAAAGATAGTGCTTTATGAAAATTTCCCTTGAAATAATGGTTAGAAAGTTCCATCAACAGAAAAAAAATATCCTATATAAGGTTAAAATTGAATAAGTTAATGTATCAAAATTAACCTTGAATAATTTAATGTATCAAAGTTCTTGAATGATGTGAAAATTGCATATAAGTAGAATAATGTCAAATTTTTTTGATTACGTAGAATTGAAAGTGTCATCTAAATGGAGTATTAAGTGGTGGCAAAATCCATGATTAAAATTAACGAGGCAAATTACCACTGTATTATTTTGTTTAACATTACTTGTCTAAATTATTTACACTGTTTGATTAATTTTCCTTTTCCCCATATTTAGTGTATCGTATTCCGAAATACCTTCGGTTTCCTTAATTTGTATCCTTATAGAAGTAGGAAATACTTTTAAGGTTTCTTGATTTCTTTGTTTCCTAATTATTTCCCACGCTTTCTCTCTATATATAACAACGTATTCTCTTGCCCTCTTTCCACAGTCTTCTTACGCTCTCTTTTAGTATCTCTTCTTGCTTCTTTTCCCATTACTACTTCTTCTGTTCTTTTCGTTTAAACAGAAGAAGATGGAGCCGTCTTTTGATGATGAACATGTTATGAGCCATCTTTTGAAGTTTGTTTGTGGCATTCCTACGAGATGCCATCTTATTCGTCTTGTCGAATTGTATGCTAACAAAAAACCTTCTGAATTATTTCAACACTTGGAGGAGAAGAGTACTGATTATGTCTTTACGCAGTTAAAGAAAACATCAGCCCGTGGTAAGAACTACAAAAGGTCAATTGTTGGAGGTGGTGGTTCATGGAAAGTACTCGACAAGAGTAAACCTGTTTTCGACAAGAAAGGTTCTGTCATTGGTTTCAAGAAGAGTTTTCGTTTTGAGGATATTAATGATCATTGTTCGGATTCAAGAATTGTTTGGAGTATGAAAGAATATAGTCTTAGCGACACCATAGTGAAAATTTTAAGACAACGCCGTCAAATTCGTCACGAGGACTATGTTGTATGTCGCATTACGAAGACTGTGAATTTGTGTGCAAGTTCTCAGAATGTCCCTTTGGCCATTAGTGGGGAGAATTCTGTTGCCAATCTCATGTCCGAGGAGCCGCTAATGCTAGGTTATTTGAAAGATCAAAATTATGTCCCAAGTTGTTGTTTATCACAAGATCAAGAAAAGGCTTCTATAATTTCTTGGACTCCTTCCCCAGTTGATCAGTTTCAGTTTCAAGAAAATCAAGATTTTGAGTTGAGCAATTTTTGGAATGGGAACGAGTGCATAAGCTTAGATAGTTTACTCATAGAAGAATCAAATGCTGCTCCATTGATCCAATTGCCTCTAATCTCTACTGAAGAAGCAGAATGTTCAGCAGCTGTGGCACCTACATATACTGCATTGCCACCATTCAATGAACCGTTTGAGCCCTTAACTGAAGAAGATTTGGCCTTTTTTGATATTTTGTTTGTGCAAGCGCAGAAGGATCAAGAAACTGCCTCTGTTTGTGCCAATAATGATATTGCTTCTTACCACAATGAATTGGATGTCTATGCTGCAGAAATACTTAAACTTAATCCCCCATTGGTTCCTGACATTCCACAGTATTTGGAGGATGAATGCCCTCTTTTCTCTGAAGATTTTTATATTGGTCCTACTGCTTTGTGGAGTTAAGAATTCAAAATTTGATACAACTGAAGTTTCTAACAATATTCTTTGTCCAGATTATATGTTTTAGCTTTATCAGTCATTGTATTCTGTTTTCATTTGTTTTCACTTCCATTGTAATGATTCTTAGCTATTGACATTTATTCCTGATAAAATTTAAACTGTGTTAATGAATTTTCGAGTTCAATGTTTATGCCTAGAGAAAAAAAAGAAGAAGAGAAATACAAGTAGCTTGCTCGTTAAATAAGCAGTGACATTCTAATTAATCAATCGAACACTTTCTTGTGTGCCTATTTATTGCTCATTAGTGTTATTTTATGTGAAGGTACTTGACTGAACACTAATTTGAAAAAAAATAAAAATACTTTTGACACGTAAGTCAAATATATGCAAAGTACCAAAATTATCCTTCTAAATGGGTTTGTCGTGAGAGTTCCACGGGTCTTTTATTTTTGCGCTCTTTATAAAAGAATGAACTGTCATATCAAGTGAATCCAAATAAGTTATGTCATTAAAGGTAAAAAAAATACTCCTATTAAAATATAACTCTAAAAAATAGAAATACACAAAGGTTAAATAATTTAAAAAGAAAAATATAAATTGCTTTTGGATAAAATAAAAAACAAAATATATCATATATAAAAGAAGACGTCATCTCTAACTTACGTTTACCCCGAGAGCAAGGTGGAGAATTCTTGGAGGGAAGGATGCCGAAGGTCTATTGGAAACAACCTCTCTATCCTACGGTAGGGGTAAGGTATGCGTACACACTATCCCTCCCAGACACCACTTGCGGGATTATACTAGGTTGTTGTTGTTAATATATCGTGTATTTTTTCAAAGCATTATTATTTTAAAGTGCAAGTTGAATGAATATATCAATGTCGGATGAGCAAATTAATCGAACGATGGAGGGGTTGCCTCGTAGTTCCCTAAACCTAAGATAGTTTTTTTGCAACTTTTTGAATCATATTTGTGGCAAACAATCATTTTTGAGAAAAGAACAAAACCTTTTCTAGGACCACATATATTACTTTTCATAGCCATGAGAAAAACTAATAGGATTACAAAAAGAAAACAAATACACAAAACTATTCAACAAAATAGAAACAAAGTAATCCAAATACCAAATTAAATAACAGCCACTCCTAAATATTAGCCTCTCACTTCAACAACATATAATACCCCAATCCTCAACTCTCTCCTTTGCTCTCCTCTTCTCACTTTCTGAGCCAAAACACAAAAAACAGAGAGAAAGTGAGTGAGTTAGGAAGCAGAAGAGAGCCAAAAATGGAGATGTCAATTGCTTCACCTTCTTCTACAACACCAACTTTCTCTATTCTCAACTCTAGCAATTGTAGCAAGAAAATTTCTTGTCTTTCAACTCATTTCCTTAAAAAACACTTCTTTGGTAGTACTTTGCCTTCTTGTTTATCTGCTAAAGTACCTTTTAAAGTAAACCCACTTCGTACTTCTATCAAATGCGCTGTTTCTGAGGCTACTGAAGCCCCCTCTGGTGAGAATTTCTTGTTTTCTTGATTCATTTTATTTATGGTTCAATTTTTTCATTATTATTTTGATGTTTGCTTTCTTGAAAGTTTTCAATAATTAATGTTTATGAGCTTATAACTGTACTTCAGAAAAGAAAATGGGCATTTTTGATTGAGAATTTAGCTTGAATTGCTGTTTCCCTAGTAGGTAAAAAATTCAAATAGTAGTTGCAACTTGGGGACATCTTTTAATGGAATTTTGTTTCTTGATAACCGAGAAATCCCCAGGGTCAATGTCACACGGGTCAAAACTCGGTGTGATAACGGGCCCACCCCTTTATCGTTTTCCACTTAAATAGGAGTAGGTTTTTGTATATAGAAGGTTTTGAAACCATGACTTGCGCCTAAGCCACACATCACGCTCCGTGCTTGTATCACTAGACCAAAGCCCTTTGGTTGATGCTAATGATATTTGAAAAAGAAATAAGAAACAAAAAAATCAAAGCTTACACTGTGCAGTACTTGCATGCTAATGTGAGGGGATAGGGGGAGAGAAGGCATATAAATGAAAGGAAAGGATGGTATTAGAAAAGAACTATAAATGAATGTTGTTGTACATGTACTTAACGATTGAATGTCTAACTTCATGTACTGTCTTAGAGAAGAAGAGCCAACTGATGAGGAGAAGTGATATACGGAATATAGCTATCGTTGCACATGTTGATCACGGGAAGACGACATTGGTTGATTCTATGTTGAAACAAGCAAAGGTTGGTAATGAGTTCTTGTATAGCACCTTGTTTGCACCTTTTTATCCCAGCTAGTATAAGTCAATGCTATGCAATTGAAAGAACTTTCCTGTCCTTATTACCCAACATGTTTTTTAAGTTAAAATTCTTCCAAAAAATATTGTTCTAAATTTCTTAGAGTTACTTTATCACAATGTTGACTGCCCTCCTCTTTAATCAACTTGATATACAAAACTGTTGAAATTCGCAAGATATATATTCAGGTCATAAAAAATTTCTTTATTGTCACGATGCAAACATTCTTCATATAGATATTCTATTAAAGGTTTAGCGTGTGAAAAGTTGATGTCTCTGAAGAAATGGTATTAAGCTCCCGTGCATTGGTAGTAACAGATTTTGCTTAAGAAGTTAAAGTAAGTTGTTAGCTATTTTGGTATTGTCTGTCTTTGCTGGTTTAGAGAATAGCAGTAAACAAAACGAACACTTTTTTTTAATGAAAAAAATGCTAACAGCTTCTTCCTCCCCTCAAAATGGCTATAGAACTTCCAAATTTTAATTTAGAAGTAGATATCATTGTTATGTTTTTCTGGATGATTTTTCTCTTTGAAGCCATTAGACTAAAGTATTGAAGCTTAATTTTATTGCAATTTTCTGTTGCAGGTTTTTCGTGATAACCAGTTTGTACAGGAAAGGATAATGGACTCCAATGATATAGAGCGTGAAAGGGGAATAACCATACTTAGCAAAAACACGTCAATTACTTACAAGGATACAAAAATCAACATAATTGACACTCCAGGGCACTCTGACTTTGGTGGTGAAGTAGAACGCATCCTCAACATGGTTGAAGGGGTTCTTTTAGTGGTACTTTGACTACTTTGATGTACAATTCAATTTGTTGTGGTAGATAGAGTTTTTAAGTGACAGTTGGACTTCTAGTATGAGTTTGATTCATAAGTAATATATTATTGTTTCTATTTTAGTTTGAAACTTAAAATGATGGTTAGATTATTGAAATTACTATACGTGCCTCGGTTATAATTGGAATAGTACAATATTCCTGACTGCCACAAAATTATAATGCTTTCATCTGTGATACACCTTCACTGTTTCACCTACTACGACACAAAAGAAGATGTGTGTAAAATGATTTTGTGTATGCTTCACTGTTTTATTTTCCAGTTGATAGAACTTTTTGCTTGCTTTCTATGAGCCTGAGAATATTACAGTACTTTCTTCTGTTGTTCACATTGGATTATATATTATCTTTCAGTACGTTTGTAGTCATATTGTAGCCTTGATCTTTTTACATCCTTAAATTGTTTCTTCTCTAATTGTACTGTTTCTCCTCTTTTGCTACTTATGCCTAAGTATCACTGTCTCTATATATTATTTTTCTGGCACATTCTCTTCATACAAAACCTACAAGTTTTTTTTTTTTTTCAATAACCACTTACAACTCTGTTCTTTTTGGATTCATCCTGCTAAAAGATATTTTCGGTATACTTTTAGGTAGACTCTGTTGAGGGTCCAATGCCCCAGACAAGATTTGTCTTGAAGAAGGCACTGGAGTTTGGCCATGCTGTAGTTGTTGTAGTCAATAAAATTGATAGACCTTCTGCTCGTCCAGAATTTGTCGTTAACTCTACGTTTGAACTCTTCATCGAATTAAATGCAACGGATGAACAGGTACATTTCTTGATCTGCTTTTTCAGTGTAAATGTCTGCTTATTACCTTTTTCATTTATCTTATATCAATTCAACTACTCTACTGCAAGCCTCCCCCTCCCCAAGAAAAAGAAAGGAAAAAGGCTAAAAAGTGAATAGCAATAAAACAATACCTCTCCATGCTCTTTCTGAGATTTTGTGAAAAGTATAATCCCTTGCTATAATGTTGAAAGGATAAAAGTATGAAACTACTGCTAGTCTCAGAAAAAACAGCAGAGCATGAGATAACTTAATTGTCAAAATCTTTATTAGTATCATTTTAGAGTTCTACAATGAACTCAAAAAACATTCTCTGGAGTTGTTTGGGTATTCTTGAAAGATGCACTTCCTAATTGAAGATGCCTGCCAGTCATTAGCATTAAGATCCAGTACTAACCGTTGAGCTTGATTTGATATCTATCCCATTGTCCTCCTTTTTGCAGTGTGATTTTCAGGTAATATATGCCAGTGGTATCAAGGGAAAGGCAGGGCTATCACCTGAAAATTTGGGCGATGATCTTGGCCCACTATTTGAGGCCGTCGTTAGATGCATTCCAGGACCCAAGATTAATAAAGATGGTGCACTTCAAATGCTTGTTAGTTGTTTCTTCACCCCTTATGTTTCTACATTTTTCCTCTTTTACATCGCTTATGATATAGCTGCTAGTCCACGTATTTTTGACGCAGTAAACTGTCTTTATTTTCTTTAATTGCTTTCTTTGTAAGATGCAAATTTGTTCCTTGTGTTATGGGTGCTTATATAAAGATGTATGCTGGAAGCTCTTTGTTGTGGGGAAATGTCGAAGGCTTTGGGAACAGTTGAAGCATTGAAAAATACTCTGATCGCAATTACATAGGAAAAAAAATCAAATGACTTTTGGTAATACTGTTTTCTCAATTCAAGGGGGTCTTTCGATAGTCACACATGTATGAAGTATCAGCCTTGTAGGTCAACAGTCCAGTGCAGAAACATCATCTATATATACAGAACTTAGAGTGGTGACAATGATTACTCAGATGTTGGCTCTTCTGCACCGTTACGTGCTTTGTAGTTTTTCTCGTGAAGGAGTGAAAACAAAATAACAGCTCTCATGGTTGACTTTCAAAGCAAACTATGAGTTTTATAGAAACAAACTATGGTTTCTTATCATGTGATATCATCTTGACACAGTTTGGACCTGCAAAAAGTACCTATGCTTTGATTAATTTGCTTAGGTATTTAAGGGCTTCCAGTTTATGTCTCAACTAACTCAAAGCAGGCATAATATCCATTTGCTTATCTAACTGCTATTTAAAAATTATAGGCTACAAATATTGATTACGAAGAACATAAAGGGCGCATAGCTATTGGACGTGTGCATGCTGGAAGTCTGCGCAGGGGAATGGATGTGAAGGTAGGTCACACTATCTTCTTTTATTTAGTGTTATTTATCCTATGAAAGCTCTTTTTAGATCATTATTCTCCCTATTCCCTTGCAAACTTCTCCTGTTGTTCCTGTTTGTACACACTACATACGAACTATTGTTTGAGATGTTAAGTATTATTCTTGAATAGATACCTGCTAGCTCAGTCAGCCCGATTAATGGAGCTCTACTCTCTTACTGCTTGAATGCAGCGTTTAATTTATGTTAACATAATTTTGTATCACTCACCAATTTCCTTCTGATAACAGATGATTCTGTAAGCGTATTATAATTGCCAGAGTCATACACACTTATGATAAGACATTTATTTCCTCCTATATTAGTATGCTTTGAAAACATGCGTAAAAGGAAGTCTTTGTTTTACTAGATGTTATGTCCTATGCTAGGTGCATTAATAGTATAGCGAATTAATCTTCTTCATAGTGGGAAGGCTAGGTTATAACACATGAGCAAAGATCTAAGTTCCAAAAATTCTATGCTGCCTTTCGTGTTTTATCATGAGATCAAAGAAGAAGTCCACACACACAGATACACCTTTTTTTAGTTAAGGTAAATAGTTTTTAATAATGGGAATATCTCCCTTATACAAGCTGTGTGTGTGTTTTGTATTTACAAACACACCCACTTACCAAGACAGATTTAATCTCTCCTATGGAAGTTCTCTAGTAGCCAAAAGCAAGGGTTTCTTTGACCTGATGGATGTGTAGCTGCTAAACTTAGGAGCATCAGCAGTTGAAATGACAAATGACAAACTAATCTTCGTCACTATCCGAAGGCAAGTCACGAGTCTCCATCCATTCTCTCACCTATAATTGTCAAATCTAGGACGAGAATTTGAGAATATAAGTTCAAAGGCTAGGATATCTTATGCTTTGATTGATATGTCATTCCACTATACCAGAGATTAATGGTTCATCTTAGGACCTCGTATAGAAGTGTCGACCAAAAGTAACTATGACAGTTGCTTGCCCTATTAGCTTATCAAACCTTTTGGGATGATAACTTTATGAAATTTCAATTTTTTTATGAAACTTGATATACATGCTAGTCCTTTGTCTGAAAAGGGTGTTTTCAGTTGTCAATTTCTTTTTGTTTTTTGTTTTTTTGAGAATGGTAACGTTTCATTAAGATCAGCAGCACAAAGATAGTGCTGGTAGAAGAAACAGAATACAATCTCCAGATCTGCAAAATATAAAATCCCCCCTACAAAGTTGTCAATTTCTTTTCTCGCCGAGTGATACAATAGCCTTTTACTCTTCTGTTTAATGTTTTCAGATATGTACAACAGAAGATGAATGCAGATTCGGCAGAGTAAGTGAGCTATTTGTGTATGAAAAATTCAGTAGAGTTCCCGCAGAAACTGTAGAAGCTGGAGATATCTGTGCTGTATGTGGTATTGATGATATTCAGGTATGATATTACTAGATACCTTGATGTTGGTTGGTTTACATACATTACTTGTCATTTGAGATAAATGCAAACATATGATGCAAGCCTAGCCTTTTATGAATTACTGATCTTTTTATTTTTATTTTGTAAATTTAGATTGGAGAGACTATCGCTGACAAAAGCGAGGGAAAACCATTACCTGCAATCAAGGTTGAAGAACCTACAGTGAAAATGTCATTTTCAGTCAATACCTCCCCTTTTGTTGGACGCGAGGTATAACATCTTTGTTCTAAACGTGTTTTGTCTTACAAAGGCATATGTCAAAGTGGTTTATTTCTTTAATTTTTGTTGTCTAGATCCCTCTTTTTTTTGGGGTGGGGGGTGGGGGGTGGGACAAGATGATCTCCGTCTTTTTAAAGTGCAATACTTTAAGGCAAATCTCACATCGGGAAAACACAAAAGAGATGCTGAGTGTATAAGGAAGCAAGCCGTAGACCACACTAAATCCTTTTAAATTGTGCGGGCCGAGAGTCAAAATAAAACATATGACTTGGTGATCTGGGCTGTTACATGTGATATCATAGCCACTTGCATGCAATCTTGTGTAATGGTAAGGCAAACTTCCGGAGGATGTTGAGTTCCTAAAGGTGTGTGTGTAACACCATAGGCAGTTCCTAAAGGGGTGTGTCTAACACCATAGGCAAATCTTATATTGACAAATGTCTTAGACCCTGATGACGCGTTTAAAATCGTGCAAACATAAGCCCAAACTAAACAATGACACTAGTTGATCGATCTGTAACATTTGGTATCAGAACCACTCTGCGTCCAATCTTGGAGGAAAGTTGGGCAAACCTCAGCAAGGATGCTAAGTCCTTAAGAGGGTATGTATATAACAACTTAGGCCAATGTTGGATATATAAGGAAGCAAGTATTAGAGCATAGATACGTTCCTAAGCCAGCAAGCAATATCACAATAGGTTAGGTTGTTACCTATGTAATCAGAGTCAATGTGTGGGCCTTAGTGAGGACATTACGTCCCTAAGAGGGAGGGTGTATTTAATGCTCTAGGCGAATTCCATATCAAAAGTACCTTAGGCCATGTTGGTGTGTTTTAAGTCCATGCAACCTAGGCCCAAGTCCTGATTACATGTACAGCCAAGACGCAAAGCGAACAATATTGGTAGTGGTCTTAGGTTGTACGGCTGTAAAACACGTCAGCAAAGTTTAGGACACGTGGATGTGGTATTCGCCTAGAGTATTGTATGCATTCCTTTCTCCAAATTCTATTGTTTTAATTTTTTTCTTCCAGTACCGTCAATTTATGGTACTTTATGTTGTTTTATTATGAGTCTATTGATAGTACTAATATAGTGTCTCTTGTTGCCTCTTTGAGCCGAGGGTCTCCTGGAAACAGCCTCTCTGCCCCTCGGGGTAGAGGTAAGGTCTGCGTACATATTACCCTCCCCAGACCCCACTTGTGGGATTACACTAGGTTGTTGTTGTTGTTGTTGTTGTTGTTCCAGTACCGTCAATATAAGGCTGCGTACAATAGACCCTTGTGGTCCGTCCCTTCGGGAGCTTTGTGCACCGGACTGCCCTTTTAGTACCGTCAGTATGATACAGGAGTCTAAGTTAACAAGAGTTAAAAATCAAAACTTTTTTATGTTAAATGATGCGGAGGGAATAGAAGCTAAATGACAGTAGAAAGCCCCTGCAGTTGGACCCAAAAATGTGTAAACATGAGACAAATAATTCCGTTTTATTTATTAAAAGATGATCATGTAAATACCAGAAGCTAGTCAGTCTGAAGTTGTGCCAAACTTCTACCGCCCACATTTTTTGTTTCATTTTATCATAGTCCATTCGATATCTATGCACATAATTTCTTTTCCTTCTCTGTGCGTCATTTGTCTGTTATGCTTTAACATCAGCTCTAACGTAGATAGCAATTGAGATCTGAGAACATGATACATTGCGCATCCTGTGTTGAAATCGGAATTTGAGAACAACGCCTACTTTTAGTTGAAGAGGATTTCACCACCTTTAGCACAGATATAACTTGCTTTTTTGGGAAATGTTTGAACAATTTTCAGGGGAAGTATGTCACTAGCCGAAACCTAAGAGACAGGTTGTACCGTGAGCTGGAAAGAAATCTGGCAATGAAAGTTGAAGATGGTGAAACTGCAGATACATTCATTGTCAGTGGACGTGGTACTCTGCATATCACTATACTGATAGAGAACATGTAAGAAAGTACTATCGCATGCCTTGGACCATTCTATCTTACTCATACTAACGATCAGAAAATGTTCAGGCGAAGGGAAGGATATGAGTTCATGGTGGGACCTCCCAAAGTGATAAATAAGAAAGATGGTGACAAGTTGCTGGAACCTTATGAGGTAATCCTTGGCTGACTTTGCTTTGTTTGTGTATAACTGGCCGAAATGGAGAAGCACATAAGTGCAGATCATTTTCAGTATATTAAGATTATTTCCGCCCTGCCAACATTTCACCTATCCTAAGCCCCTCTTCCCCCACCCCATAGAGAAAACATTGGAGAAGCTGCACGTAGAATCTGACATATGTATTTCAAAATTGTCCAGTGGCAAGCATGCTCTTCTTGTCACTTGTGCTGAGGGAGAATTAGAAAGTCTTTTCTGCAATAACTGGATTAAACAGAATTTTGTTTTAAATTAAAATCACTATCCACTCATATACATCTCGAAGATGGTCATGTATTGCACTCTGGTACTGTCTACGAGTTATCTTGTATACTGGGAAAAGTAATGTTTAATCTCTATTAGTGGTTGGGGTTCTCCTTAGTCTTGACTTCTGGATTCCATATTTGCAGATTGCTACTGTTGAGGTTCCTGAGGAACACATGGGGTCTGTGGTTGAACTTCTGGGGAGAAGGCGTGGGCAAATGATTGATATGCAAGGGCTTGGGTAAGTGAAAATTGTCAGAATGACCGGATAATTTTCAGAATGATAAGTTGGTAAAAGAATTCTATTAGCTTACCAGAGAAAGTTTGGCATCTTCACATGCTGTAACAGGAGATAATTAAGATAAGTTCAATTTGAAGATTTGCGAAGAGTCATGAATCTTCCACTAGGAAATTAGGGAAGTAGTTGTTCTTTTGCCAACTTTATTCCAAGCATAGATTTAAAAAGTTGCTTGGGGGTATCTTACAATCGTACTGGTCCTTCAAATCAGATCCTTCCTATCTAGATCTGGCAATTCAATAGTTTGTTGTCTTCTGAGATAATTGTATGTTGCTAACCAGAACAAGGTCTTAGTTCTGTTGAAAGTTGTGGCTCTTTTAATTATTTTTATTTTATTGGTATTTGGCATTCTCATTACAGTGAGATTATGTTATATACCGGGCTCATTTTTGTGATATTTCTTAGTACCTCTACATTTCACTTCTTCAATTTTGGGTTTTTAAGAGGTATTGTAGTTTTGAGCTGCAGAGTTCTTTATAATTTTTATTTAATGAACAGAAGACGCTGATGCAATTTATCTATTAGGTCTGAAGGGACAACTTTGCTCAAATATAAAATACCAACCCGAGGTCTTCTTGGATTGCGGAATTCAATCTTGACAGCTTCTAGAGGCACAGCAATTCTCAACACAATATTTGATAGCTATGGACCATGGGGCGGTGATATTTCCACTCGTGATCTAGGTTCACTGGTAATTTCCCTCCTTGAGCGATCTACTTCTCAGTGTAGATCACATCTTCTATTGGTTTACGTCTTAGCAATCTTTGAATAGGTGATAGTCCGTGTTTTTCCAAATTTCTATAAAATAATTTTTAACTTTAAAAATGTGTTTTTAGTAATTTTATGTAATTTAAAATATGTAAATTTTATTTTAAAAACTTAAAGAAATTCATTGTGCAATTTCACACCAAAAATTAGATTGAGCGATCCTCATACTCTGAATCTCGCTCTTTTCTTTTTCTGGACAGAGTGATAATACATTCTAAATTTCACTTATATCATCATAGGTTGCATTCGAGGACGGAACGAGTACATCCTATGCTCTCATGAGTTCTCAGGATAGAGGGCAGTTGTTTATTGGCCCTGGAGTTGATGTTTATAAAGGTCAAATAGTTGGTATTCACCAACGGCCAGGTGACCTTGCCCTGAATGTCTGCAAGAAAAAAGCTGCGACAAATGTTCGTTCAAACAAAGAAGTAACAGGTAAAATCAGCACCAAAGATGTTGCTGAACTTCTCAACCTTTTCCTATAGAATGGAATAAATTGTTCAAGAAACAATTGTACACATTTCGGCCCCATATACGAAGTTAGCATATCAGAGAGCTTAAGATTCTTAAATTCGAGCTGTTAAGTAGAGGAAAATGATCCTTCTCCTTGAGACTAGCTTCTGCTTATAGTGTGGGAGTTCCTCACCTTTGGTTTCTAGTTAAATTCTGCTTCAAGGGACCCTAATATTATTCTGATAGCATGAGGAGAGAAAATAGTTTTTTTTTTCTTTCTGATTAGTTATGAAATCTTTCTTGTGAACTTAATATTCTGACATTACGTCTTTGCTTTTGTATGCCTCATACTAACTGAATTCCCTTATCGTTACATGCAGTGGTTCTTGATACTCCACTAGATTATAGTCTGGATGATTGCATAGAGTACATTCAAGAAGATGAGCTTGTTGAAGTTACTCCATCAAGTATCCGGATGTTGAAAAACCCAAAGTCTGCCAAAAAGACACGATGAATGTTTACATAGAACAAGGCGAAGAGATGCAATGAAGTATACATGGTACGAGAACGAGGCAAAGAGACATAATGAAGTATACATGGTACGTGCCAATATATATGTCATCCCAACTCCTTAATTCATTCCAAAGACCTCTCTTTTGGATAGAGCATTCCGCGATTTTTAACATGTTGATTATTTTCAACATGTGAAGTAAACTTTTGGTTAATGCAGAGCTATACAACATTCAAAGCCTCCAGTACAATAGGTTGAACCTTTTGGTAGTTGGATTTGGTTAGGCATACAAAGGTGTAGTATATTATTTCTCACAATTTGTGTAGATGACTGATGATATAATAGAGAGCATGTATCCAAAGCTGCAAAACAATATGCAATATTTGATTGTTTGTTATTGTAGTTACTAAAGACTTCAAATTCCATGTTTTCAAAAACATCTACTTGATAGGCTGCTCACTATTTATTCCACATGCAACTCAAAAATATGATTTTGTATCTGGCGTCCCAGATATTTTTTTGCTTAACTATTGTAGCCAGATATTTTCCTATTTACCAGTTTGATTGTAGATGCAAAAATATTAGGTCACAAATATTACAAGGAAACCCAGTCCACAGCAAAATGAGTCAATAAACCTATTGGATGGCATTCTATCAATCATTTTCCAATAACTAATAATCATCTGGAACCATTTAATTGACTTTTCTTATTCCTAGACTGTATAAAAATATTTAATTAACGTCCATTCTATCAATTTTATAAGACTTGTTCTTCCACTATGCAACAAATGTTGTACGATGTCTTTCTAATCTTTTTTTGGGTTAAATTATAAAGGTGTGTTTGGTATGATGGAAAGTGTTTTCCGTGAAAATTAATTTTTTTTAAAAATATTTTCTTGTTTCCTCTTCTTTTTTGTTTTGTTTGTTTTGTCCACAACTTAGTATATTATACATAAAGGGGGTGGGGGTAAGGTAAAGGGTTTCTAATACATCTGAAAAAATCGAAAACCAAGACTAGAAATTTTTAATAGAAAATAATTTTCTTAAAAAAAAAAATTTCAAAAAATAATTAATTTTCAACTTATTTTCTAGTGTTTGGCTAGTTAGCAGAAAATATTTTTCTTATAATTATATAATCTAGGCAAACACTATATGTAGGAGACGTCCTGGGTCGAGGTTCGAGGCAGGGTTGGGATCAGGTTCCAAGGTCGGGATCGAGTACGAGGTTCGTTGTTCGGAAACATGGTCGTGGTTGGGATTCAGGTCGGGTCAGGATTGGTGGTCGGTCAGGGTTGGGGGGGACCCAACCCCAAACTCTAAGCTTGACCCTAAACCACGATCTGGACCCCAAACTCTAAACACGACCTCGAACCCCAACCCAATTGTGATGACCCAAAAGGTCATCAATTGTTTTAGAAATAAATTCTTTGTTCCGAGGCCTTAAAAACCTCTTTCTGTCCTACCTCAATTTGTGCGCGCAGTCCGGGCGCATATTCGGAAAGCCATTATGTGAAAATCTGTGAAAAATGATAAATTTTGCTTTTAAAATGAATTTAAGTTGACTTCGGTCAACATTTTAGGTAAACGGGCCCGGACCCGTGATTTAACGGTCCCGGAGAGTTTGTAGGAAAATATGAGACTTGGGCGTATGCCCGGAATCGAATTCCGAGGTCCCAAGCCCGAGAAATAAATTTTTAAAGAAAATTATTTTCTGAAATATATATGAGTTTTTGAAAATGAAATATGTTTGAATTTGATGGTATCGAGCCCGTATTTTGGTTCTAAAGCCCGGTACAGGTCTTATATGTGATTTAAGTTGAGCCTGTAAAATTTGGTAAGAAACGGAGGTCATATGACGTGATTCGGAACCTTAGTTGTAAAATTTGAAACTTTGAAAGTTCTTGAGATTTTCTTTATTTTTGATGCTAAATTCATTGCTGTTGATGTTATTTTGATGATTTGATTGCACGAACAAGTTCGTATGATGTTTTTAGGTTAGTGTGCATGCTTGGTTTGGAGCCCCGAGGGCTCTGGTGAGTTTTGGATAGGTCACAGAGTGAAATTTGGACTTAGAAAATTGTTGGTGTGTTGCAGGCCTGCAAGCTTCGCAAGCCTGGCTCGCAAATGAGAACAATGTATCGCAAATGCGAATTATGGCCTAGGCTGCCCTTGTCGCAAATGCGATGTATTTATCGCAAATGCGTTATTGCAAATACGATATCGCAAATGCAAAGAGAATAAGAATCCTCAGGGTTCGCAGATGCGAACCCCTGTTCGCAAATACGAAGAAAGCAGGTTTCTTAAGGGTTCACAATTGCGAACCCTGGTCGCAATTGTGATATCTGCACCCTGCAAATTCATAACTTAGCCGAAAATCTTTCATTTTTTAAGCCTTTTCAAAACCTAAACACCTTTGGGCGATTCAAGACAAGTACTCTTCCAAATCGATTGTAAGTCATTTCTAACTCGTTTTTATTAATCTTTAACATCTTTTCACATGATTTTAACTCAAAATTAAGGGATTTTATGGGAAAAATTGGGTGTTTTGGGTAGAACCTAGGTTTTTCAAATTTTGGGGATTTGGACCTCGATTTGAGGTCCGCTTTCAAAACAAATTATATATTAGGGTTAGTGGGTGAATGAGTAATCGAGTTTTGGTTCGAACCTCGGGTTTTGACCATGTGGGCCCGGAGTCAATTTTTAACTTTTTGGGAAAAACTTTAGAAAACCTATTTTCATGCATTAGGATTGATTCATTTAGCATTTATTGATGTAGTTAAGTAATTTGTGGCTATATACAAGCGAATTGGTGGTGGAATCAAGAGGTAAAGTGATAGTTGAGGCTTGAATTGTGTTCGTGGCATCGGGGTAAATGTTTGGTCTAACCTTAGCTCGAGGGATTAAGAGTTGTGTCCTATTTGCTATGTGTTAACTGTTGAGTACGCATGGTGACGAGTATCTATATGTTGGTGTCAAGCATGCACATGAGTCTTATGCTATGATTAATATGACTCTGTTTTGTATTGTTCATGCCTTATGTGATATTTCTATTGTTGAACAAGGCTTGTGGAAGAAATCTTGGTAATTGAATATTGAAGAGCGTTGACTCAAATTGTGAAATGACTTGTGGAATTATTGTTGGAAATTGAACATTACAAAACATTGGTTCAAGTTGTGAATTGAGTTGTGAAGTAAATGTGAAAAAGAGAAGAGGATTATTATATTGTCTCCCTTGCGGGGATGTTGTTGCTTTTAATGCTATCTCCTTTGTCGGGATGTTGATGCTTTTGATGGTGTTCCCTTGCCGGGATTTTATTGTAATTTTATTTATTTCCTTGCCCTCATTGCTTGTGATTGTTGTTTGGTCGAGGAAGAGTGTTAAAGCACGAAGGGTGATGCCGTGCATTGTATTGGTGAGAAAGTGTTAAAGCACGAATGGTGATGCCGTATATGATTTTTGTGAGAGAGTGTTAATGCACGAAGGGTGATGCCGTGCCGCACGATGTACCATTACGTGCCCTTATATGAGTGATAATGCACGAAGGATCATTCCGTGCCATGATTTTGTGAGGTAAAAACACGAAGGATGATGTTGTGCTATTTATATTGATTTTATGGTGAGGACGAGAGTAAAAGCACAAAGAGTGATACCGTACACTTGTTTTTGATTTCCTGACTTTTACTGATAATTGAGTTATGGTGTTCTTTACATTTAACTGTTGTTTTCAGTTGTTACTGGTTGGTTCCTCGCAGCATGATTTCCCCTTCCCATCTTTAATTGTACAATTTTGCCTTTATTTTTTTTAACTGCACGTGTTTATTTGGTAGTCTGGTCCTAGCCTTGTCACTACTTCGCTGAAGTTAGGCTAGGCACTTACCAGCACATGTGGTCGGTTGTGCTGATACTACACTCTACACTGTGTGCAGATCCCGGTACTGGAGCATACAGACCGTAGCTTTGGGTTGCTGCCTTTAGTTCATTCGGAGATCCGAGGTAGTGGCGTCTCCTCCTATCCTTTCATTCTATTTCTTTTATGTATTTCAGAGACAGTATTGTAATAAATATTTCAGACCCTTATTTGTAGTAATCCTAGACAATCTGTGGAATTGTGACACCAGTTCTGGGTAGTTTATGTATGGATTGGTATTGGCATTTTTATTCAAATATTACATTTCAGCCTTCCGCTTATTAAGTTTCGCTGTTTATCTAATGTTGGTTATTAATTGTTAAAGGATTAAAATGGGAAAAAGGTAAATAACCCAAATGGTCGGCTTGTCTAGCTTTCACTAGTAGGCGCCATCACGATTCCCGAGGGTGGGAAATCGGGGTCGTGACAAGTTGGTATCAGAGCTCTAGGTTACATAGGTCTCACAATTCACGGACAAACTTAGTAGAGTTTGAGGGATCAGTATGGAGAAGTCTGTATTTATCCCCTAGAGGTTACAGAGTTAGGAAAAACTTCACATCTATTCTTTCCTGTCGTGCAGTTTGGTTTTTCAATGCTAATTAAATTTCTACTATGTTCTTTCGCAGATGGCGAGAACACGCACTTCCTCATCCACTGATCAGCAGCCCGAGCCCCCAGTAGCAGCTTCCATGAGGGGCAGAGGGCGAGACCGTGCTAGAGTCCGAGGCAGGGGCAGAACTCAGCCCAGAGCAGCAGCACCAGCGGCGATGCCTCAGGTTGAGCTTGATGATGAGGTTCCGGTGGGCCCAGCTCAGGTCCCAGAGGGGTTCATTATATTGCTACCCAGTACTCCAGGATGCTCTGGTCCGTCTAGTGGGCCTTATGGAGAGTGTCATTTGGACATGCTTGCTTCCTGTAGTACCAACTATCTCTCAGGCTGGAGGAGGAGTCCAGACTCCTGCTACCCGCACTCCGGAGCAGATGGTTGTAGTATATATGGATGTTTATTTTCGAAAGCCGTATTTGAGAAGGGAAATTAGAGAAAGACTATAACATGCCAACCTTGACTGAATTGGTCACCCAAATTAAATAAACACTCCTATAGCTTATTTCTTTCTTTATTATTTCTATTTCCTTTTTCAATGAGTGGAGGACTCTTTGGAAATTGGAAATATCTCCAATAACAATATCTTGACAGAAAGAAACACATTAGAGTACTTCATACTAAGTTTTTAGTTTTTTTTTAAATATGCTTTAGTCAGTGTTACTTTATACCATAAAATGCCTGAGTGTATGATATATAATTGTAATGTCAAAGAAACAAACTTTTCAAAGTGTAATTAATAATTAATTAATATTGCAACGATAAAAATACTTACATCATTTGGAAGGGGTACTGGTGATGTCATGTTAGTCAATATATCAAGTTTGACCTAAATGATATAGACTGATCCAACGTGCAGAATGAATTATCACCCACCTTTACAACTGTCTTCTATGCATGGAAATTGGTAATATTATTTATTTTTGTTTATATTTTCTAGCAAAGCA